TTTATTAGAGTTCAGCCTAATGTACGTGAATATTGTGATCGAAGTGCGCTGTCCAGAGTTTATTATATTATATTATAGTAAAATTTAACTTGACGCATAGTATGGTTTATATTACATGTTCACTTCATTTCGAATAAAATAATTCACCATTGGAACATCGATGAATCACAAGTATTTAAAATATTTTCTCGACTTTCCGTAGACACCTGGCTACTAACATTTTCAATGATTTAAATGCGCCCATGTTTATGTTTGCGTAATTATTACGAATTCAACGCATTATCAAGTCGGTAATATTGAAATATTCACAGACCCAATACCCCGGGTCAGTGCCCTAACAATATTAAAAAATGACTTTGCGTATTTATCATGAAAGCAATACATTACACAGTTGAAATATTTAGAGCCCATGCAATATTGTAAACAAATTTGCGTAATTAGAAAAGCAGTGAACTAAGTAAACGACGTTGATATTTTCAAAGCCAGTACAGAGTTGCATACAAGTTGCGTAATTACAGTACCGTCGGATATAATAATTTCACTAGAACGACGCGCGGACCACGAAAAAAAAAGGTTGCTAAGGTAACGCGCCAGTTCAGTGCGTGACTTGGGGTCAAACATCGGTCAACACACACTTGATGTCAGCATCGGCGCGTAGCAAGTTTCGCAACGTACTTGAAGTTCAATTGTGCCCCAAAATGATGTCGACGATCAGTCATTTGTCGCAGCGCATGTTGTACCAAGTCCATGATACACCCTGTTTCGACTTTGGCTTGCCTTTCCTTCTTAGTGCATGTTCTTGTTCACGTAAAATGCGACCTCTCGCCAATGTATTAAAACACTTTGAATTTATACTTTGCATGATTATTTTTGGTCAACGCGAAACATTATTTTTTCTAAACATTTTCTGAGACTATTTTTATCAACGCAAGGTTATTTTTCCAGACAATATGGGCTTCGTAATATCTGCCAAAACATCGCCTGGGCAATCTTTTGGTCCACATTTTTCTTTAAAAAAATCGAATCCTCCATAACATCGCCCAGGGCGGGGTATCAGCCGAATCCGGTAGCAGTTAAATACTAATTTATAGAATAAGTAAGTATGCAGTTAATCTATGTAGGGGGAATATTCAATAGGTTTTTGAGTAGTTTTTGAAGCAGATGTACTCATGAATAGAAGTGAACACTTACTGTATGTGCAGCAGCAGATAATGGAGTTCTTTGTACCGGTGTACGTTTGTTACTTCGGTTGTCCCACAGAACTATTTGACCAGAGTATGTTCCACCGACAATGAGATTGGGATGAAATCTGGCAAATACAGATGACATGACAGCAGACTGAAATTGAATGTGAAAACAGGTTTATGAAAGCAGCAGAAAAAAAAAACAAGTTAAAAATTGATCTGATTCAAAAATTGAACATTACATGTATATTATTAAAATCTTACATGTAGATACATGTAACAGTGAATACAGTAGTGCATGTACATGTACCATGCTAGTGTTTGTCTAAGGGTTTGTGGTGTGCATCTCAGTCAAGAAATTCACATCAAATATTGTATTATGAAGGTATGTTTTGAATACCATAAGTGTTCTCCTGTAAAGGTCTCCAAAATGAAATTTTGCTGCCAATACAACTTTAACAATATTAATTTTTGTTTATCAGTCACACTATTGTCATGAGTGGAGTTCAACTGAAGTGGTTCAGCCAGTACAACCAGACATTTTTGTTTATCAGTCACACTATTGTCATGAGTGGAGTTCAACTGAAGTGGTTCAGCCAGTACAACCAGACATTTTTGTTTATCAGTCACACTATTGTCATGAGTGGAGTTCAACTGAAGTGGTTCAGCCAGTACAACCAGACATTTTTGTTTATCAGTCACACTATTGTCATGAGTGGAGTTCAACTGAAGTGGTTCAGCCAGTACAACCAGACATTTTTGTTTATCAGTCACACTATTGTCATGAGTGGAGTTCAACTGAAGTGGTTCAGCCAGTACAACCAGACATTTTTGTTTATCAGTCACACTATTGTCATGAGTGGAGTTCAACTGAAGTGGTTCAGCCAGTACAACCAGACATTTT